TCTAAACCTACTCTCTAACAATTTGTGGCTGTTATTCCTTGTTACCCTGGGGGGCGCTAGGGGGAACAGGGTCTCTCCCAAACCCTGCTGGTCCCCCCTAGTGAGTTTATAGATGGCCACCAGGTCCCCCGTCAGCCTTCTCTTGTGAAGGCTGAACAGGTTAAGGTCCCATAGCTTCTCTTTGTAGGGTCTGCCCTGCTGTCACTGGATCATGCGGGTGGCCCTCCTCTGGACCCTCTCAATGCTGTCCACATCCCTCCTGAAGTGCGGTGCCCAGAACTGAACACAGTACTCCAGCTACGGCCTGGCCAGTGTCACATAGAGGGGGAGGATCACCTTGTTGGCTCTGCTTGAGATGCATCTGTGGATGCAGGACAAGGTTACGGTTAGCCCTACTGACCGTGACCTCACATTGTTGGCCCATGTTCATCTTGGAGTCAGTAATGACTCCAAGATCTCTTTCTGAGAGAAACCAGGTTTATCTCAACCTGGTTTTGGCCATTTTCAAACTGGTTTATGTGCACCTAACATCTGTTCTGTTACAGGTTTAAACTAGTTCCTGATCACTTAAACTGGTTTATGTGTAATGTCTATCTCTAGCCCAACAGTGTGCATGTGCTTTCCATACATATAAGCCTGGTTTTCAAAAAGACTAATAATTTTCATGTGCCACTTTCTGTTCAGGTGTCCATTTTAAATACCATAAAAAACACTGATTTTTAAGAGACTGGTGGACGGAACTTCAAGAAAATGACATCTCTTTTAAAGTGTTTTAAATTAAAACTCCTCAAACTGTGCCTAAAAAACCTGCCTTGGAGAGGCAAACTATTCTTGTTGGACAAAGCAGTATCCCTTTTTTCATCTCAACTTTCTTCAATTTTTTTAAGAGAGTCCTCTACAGTTCCTCACTTCTCCCTACTGTATTTCCTATAAACACGGTCCTTTTAGATACCCATTCATCCCATTCAAATAAGAGCCAAGGAAAGCTCTGAGTGGCTGAGTGGAGAGACAGGATACTGAGGGATCTGGAGCCCTAAGGACTTTTTTTTGCTCTTGGATATCTACATATCAAGGGTGAACCAGGCCTCTCATTCTGAGAGTTACTGCTCAGTGTTTATTCTAATACATTAGATTTCAAATCCCTACACATATCCATGAAGATAAATCACTAGGTTACGAATCAGCCTTTTGAATTAATTGTGCTTATTTTTTTATGTTGTGATCCCTTCTCAGATGTAACTTGAAAACCCTTCTCTGACTTAGAAAGTGCTTTCTCGTCTTATTCATCCCTGTGATTCTCACTGATATTTTAAAAGGTAGACTCTCCTTTAAAGAACATTTTTATATATTTATTTTTATTTATTGTCTTTCAGGAAAAAATGCTGTAAGGGTTATAAATTTGTGCTTGGACAATGCATCCCTGAAGGTAGGTTACTTTCTTGTTCTTACATTACATAACTCACTTCTTATTTCTTCTGTTTTCTGCACTGTTCATTTGGGAAAATAATGACCAAACACAGACGTGGTTGTATGTTGTGTACCCATGAGGAAATTGTTTAAAAAATAACAACATCAAAGTTTATGTCTCCAGCATGTTTCTTTTGGGATATTGGGTCTTAATTCTACCTAAATACATTTGGTTGCGAAGATCTTGCAATACGAACAAGTTGCTCAGAACCCCTGATGACTTGCCATTTTCACCTTCATAATCAAGTTCTCCATTATCCACATGAAGTGCTGGTAAGACCCATGACAAAAAACAAGTCCCGAGAAACTCTTAAGTTTGCCCAGGACAAGACCCAGCACAGTGAAACAAAGGATGACATTTACTTGAGATCATTGCAACAGGGGCTGCTTGTTTCAACGTTCTGCTTTGAGCTCTGAGCTATTGTTTGCGAGTAGAGCTCATGATTAGCCTTGGAAGGAGCTCCTATAGCCCCATTAACTTCAGTAAACTTTCTCTGAGGGCTCTGGACCTTTATAAGTTCAGAGAATTACTTTCTTTATGTGAACTTATTTACTAGCTGAGGTTCCCTATGTCCAGTTCAGTCACCGTTGTATCTCATAGTTTCATAGTTGGTAGGGTTGGAAGGGACCTGAGCAGATCATCAACTCTGACCCCCTGCCATGGCAGGAAAGAGTACTGAGGTCAAACGACCCCGGCAAGGTGTTCATCCAGCCTCCTCTTCAAGACCCCCAGGGTAGGAGCCAGCACGACTGCTTGGAAGTTGGTTCCAGATCCTAGCCTTCCTGACAGTGAAGTAGCGCCTGATGTCTTGTCTGAATCTACCCTCTGCCAGCTTGTGACCATTATTTCTTGTCACTCCTGGTAGCGCTCAGGGGGACAGGGACTCCCCCAGTGCCTGCTGGTCCCCCCTGACTAGTTTGTAAATGACCACTAGATCCCCCCCCCTCAGCTTTCTCTTGTGGAGGCTGAACAGGTTCAGGTCCCATAGCCTCTCCTCATAGGGCCTGCCCTGCTGCCCCCTGATCATGTGGGTGGCCCTCCTCTGGACCCTCTCCATGTGTCCACATCCCTCCTGAAGTGCGGCACCCAGAACTGGACACAATACTCCAACTGCGGCCTGACCAGTGTCGCATAGAGGGGGAGGATCACCTCCTTGGACCTGCTTGAGATGCATCTGTAGATGCATGACAAGGTACAGTTGGCCTTCCTGACTGTGTCCTCACACTGTCAGCCCATGTCCATTTTGGCATCAATAATGACTCCAAGATCCTTTTCTGCCTCTGCACTGATGAGAAGGGAGTTCCCCAACCTATAGGTGTGCTGCTGGTTCTTCCCCCCCTGGGTGCAGCACCTTGCACTTGTCAGTGTTGAAACCCATCCTGGTCTTATCCACCCACCCCTGTAACCTGTCTAGGTCCGATTGCAGCCTATTCCTCCCTTCTAGCGTGCCCACTTCCCCCCACATCTTAATGTCGTCTGTGAATTTGAACAGTGTGCTTTTTACCCCCTCGTCCAAGTCACTGATGAAGATGTTGAACAGTGCGGGCCCGAGGACTGAGCCCTGCGGATCCCCACTGCCCACATCCCTCTAGGTCGAATAAGACCCATCCACCACCCGTCCATTAGGATTGATTAGAAATCAATCTGACCTGATTTCTACTAGGCCACTGCAATTACTGTGAGAGCTGACAGTCTGAGGCTGTAGTGTATGGATTAGAAATCTTGGGATTCAGTGAAGCACTTGTTACATTTACTCTGTTAAAACACAGAACTTGGCTCCCCATACTTGGGTTCAGCAAGATCCTGACAGGATGAGCATATGAAATGCATTTTACCTCCTAGGCATATAAATATATTGCTGCTGTTAGTTTCTCTATTAAAGTATGTCTGCACCCTTGAGCCATTACTGGCAAATCAGAGCACTGGGAAAGCAGTTGCAGCACTGTTCTTGTGATGAGCAGTGAGCAGAAAGAAGATGGGCCTGGGACCTGCTTGCCTCACCTCCTGTATTATCTCTCCCCCTCTGTGGGAGGTGCTGTTTAAACAGTCTGTCACCCTCAAAGGTGATGGCATTGCCACTGAGCTGTGTCAACATCCTCTTTATGCTTTATTTTCCCCATCCGTAAAGATGGAAATAACTAGACTTGACAAACAGAACTTCAGAAAAACTTAGAAATCATCTTCACACACTCTACTCCCAAAGAAATCACTTCAAGAAGGAAATCAACACATGCTACAAGCACCTACAAGAGATGAATCCAGCTGTCTTCGAACACATTATACAATGTATACAGCAAGACTATGAAGGATTCATTACAGTATCCATCCAACACAAAAAGAAGAAATGGAACAAGGTACTACAGGAACAACTTTCCCAGCCACAAAACAAGCCTCCGAAGGACACCGCCAGCACCGTACGACATCCAACATCAGACTCGATGAAACAGAAGGAATCAGTCAACCCTCTAATGTTATCAATCTCTCCACACATACACTTACCAAAGCTGAAAAACCTGTCCTCTCCAAAGGACTTAATTTCTGTCCAGAAAAACACCCAAATAAGATGCTACAATGTGGAGAGCTAGAAGAACGTTTTCAATGTCTCCATCTGAAGGAATATTTCCACAATCAAAAGGAATCCACTTTCAACACAAATTCATCTGGTGACAACATCGACAAAAAGATCAATGACAAAAAAGCCCAGAACACCTCAGATTGGACACCCAAAAGTGGACAAAATTCAAACCTCGATCGCTACACTGACTGCTTCAGAGAAAGAATGAACAATGCAATACTGAACGACAAACACCACTATAACAACCTCTCCCTCTCAGAAAGAAGGGCCATAGGATCTTTAAGATCCAACCACCAAATAGTAATAAAACTGGCAAATAAAAGAGGAGCTATAGTTATATTAACCATGAAGAATACATACAAGAAGCCAAGAGACAACTCTCTGACACTACCTACTATAAAAAACTAAAGGAAGATCCTACTCGCCTTTTCTCCTCAAAGCTCAAAACCATCATCACATCATTTCCATCAGAACTACAAGAAAAAACTTCAGACCCTGATCCCTCTACTACCCAATCCTAGGACTTCTTCCCTGTTCCCTAAAATCCACAAACAAGGAAACCCCAGCAGACCTATCACTTCAAACCATGGAACCTTGTCAGAAGAAATAGCAGGTTTCATCAAATCCATCTTAAAACCACTCGTCACCCAAAGAGTTGAGTTTCATTCAAGACACAACTGACTTCCTGTGAAAACTCAAAAACACAGACCACCTTCCCAGCAATACCCTTCTAGCCACCAACATCCCATACCAGGATGGCCTCCAAGCCTGCCTCAAATATCTACAAGAACCAGGTTACAACTCACAGTACAGACCTCAGGATATCACTAAACACATAAACTTCATCCTCCCACACAAAAACTTCAGTTTCAACCAAGGTTCCCTTTAAGCTGCGCGTGTGCATGGCTATGCACAAAAAAAAATCTTGCCACGCATTAACTTTTTAATGCCGCACACCTGCCCAGAGCGGAGCTGGGCTGTTGATTTCTGGAAACCCGGAGCACGGCAGAGGCACCAGGGCCAGCGTGGGACATTTACCGGCAGTAAGTTACTGCTCAGCTGCTCTCCACTTCTCACTGTGCCGGCGTCCTTGCAGGGAGGGAGAGAGGCGCAGGACAGGAAGCGGCTCCTCCCTGAGGTGAGGCAGGGGTAGGGACAGGGGCTGAGGCTGGGACACAGCTGGACACCGCTGGCTCCAGGGAACTGCTCAGCTCCCCAGCCCCTTCGGGCAAGTTTCGCCCCAAGCCCCAATGCCATGTACCTCCTTGCTGCCTGGTCCGCCCAGTGGCAGGATGCACACCACTTTAAAAGGTTGCAGAGGCACAGAGGCAATGTTGATCATTTTTGAAAGAGTATTGAAATCTGCCAGATAGGGAAGAGGAGTAGCTAGACATGTAATTGTAACATTTCTCAATAATACATTTCCTAGTGTTCGATCCAGTCTTGATTTAAATGTCCCAGACAACTGGACTATATATAGCGATGTACTATTCCATTTATTCTATTCTGTTCTTCAGTGTTTCACTGAAGAAACAGAGCTTTACAGAGTATATTAAATGAGAGCTTTGCAGAGTATATTACATGATGTGATTTGTCTGTCACATGCAATCCTTTCTCTTTTGCATGTTCTCCTCAGGTGGGGAATTCTACATAAACTTTTTTGTTTTGGTAGGGTTTTATATTTTAATTTTTTTACTGTACACCTTGTAGCTATCGGAGAACAACTATTGCAAACAAGAGAGGCATGCACAAAAAAAATCTGCTTAAAACTACGCAGGTGGAAGAGAGCTGCTTAGATCAGAGGCATAAATAAAATGCTAATCTTTATGTATAGTTTAGTATTTCAAGACTCTTTTCTTCCAAATAATGATGTGAGCATGCCAAAAGGGATCAATTTGTGAATGGGCCAAAGCAGCACGCTCATGGACCGAAGCAGGATGCTCACGGACTGAAGCGGCATGCTCATGGATTGCTATGCCTTAGAGGGAATATTGGTTTCAACAACCAACACTTCCTCCAGGCTATAGGCACAGGTATGGGCACCAAAATGGCCCCACAATATACCAACCTTTTATGGCTTATCTAGAAGAAGACTTCTTCAGGAAGTGCACCATCAGACCCTTACTATACCTGAGATATATAGATGACATCTTTATCATTTGGACTGAAACCCTGCAGTCTCTAATTAATTTCCACCAAAAATTCAACCATCATCACCCCTCCATCAGACTATCACTTCAATACTCTAACACCAACATTTCCTTTTTGGACACCATGATCACTATCCAAGATGGTAAAATTCAAACCACCATGTATAAGAAACCCATTAACCAACAAACATATATACACAGAACCAGCAATCACCCTAAATACACCGAGAAGCTGTAATATACAGCCAAGCTCTCCAGTAGCACCGAATTTGCAGCGAGGAGTATACCTGTGACTACCACCTCACAAATCTCAGAAGAGCCTTCAGCCAAGAAGGACCCTTCTCCAGAGAGAGAGATTGTACTTGAAAGAGCCACCCAGATACCGTGTGAAGATTTGCTGCAGTAAAAAATGAAAATCCTTACAAATTGCAGACCGTTAGTTATGACATATCACCCTTCCCTGGAACCTACGCAGAAAATCCTCAAACAATTGCAACCAATACTAGAAGATCCCTCTCTTAAAGAGATCTTTCCAGAACTGCCCATCCTAGCCTTTAAACAGGCACTGAACCTCATTAAATTCATCACCAGAAGCAAACTCCCTATGACCCAAACCACATTGAATGGATCCAGACCATGCCAGGACAAGAAATGCAAAACCTGACAACACATCACCACACCTACAATAAATACACCCCACAACAGAACCATCACCATTCCTGGATCTTGCAGCTGAACCTCCAGAAATGTTATATATCTCATCCAGTGCACCAAATGCCCTGATGGAAAATATGTAGGAGAAACCAAACAACAACTGCGCACCAGAATGAACACACACTGAAAATCTATTAAAGACAAGAATACCCAACTACCTGTGGAGGCACATTTCTCACAAGACAATCACTCTGTCTCCAATCTCTCAGTTTTAATCCTCAAAGGGAACTTACAAAACACCTTCCGTAGACGAGCCTACGAACTTCACTTCATAAATCTACTGGACACCCAAAGTAATATAGACAAATGGGATAAGTTCTGTTGCTTCCCAAAGGAACATGTTTTCAAACATGCTGCTGCTTCCTGTTTGGTGTCTCTCCTTATCACCTCTCCACTCTTCAGTTCATCCAAATGCTGTGGCTAGGATCACATGTTCCTCCTATTTTTCCACTCTTTGAACATCTAGTAAAAATGCCCTTCTCTGTGTGTGAGGTGATTTCCTTCTGCTGCTTCCTAGCTCTTCTCAAGCCCCACTTCTTTCACACAAGACTGTGAAATGGGTGGGCTGGGGGTTGAGAGTGTTGTGTGTGAAGGGAATATATGCCTCCCAGCTCCACAGAGCACACACAAGAAAAGCAGTGAAGCCTATCCATCCTACTAAACCATGCTCACATCACATCTGTATTGGTGTTAAACTAATTTAGGTTAAACACTAGGATTTCCAGGGCCATGTTATATGGTTCTTAATGTTGCTCTACTTTATACATTGTTTCACAGGGTACTGTAGGAAAGCTTGTCTATCCTCTTGTGAAGAAATCTTGGATCACCTCACAATTAACCCACTTGCAGCTTGGCCTACACCACCTTTCAGGTCATGTGGAATATGACTTTACATGCCAGTATAAGCTAGTTGGTAGCTTCTGGTGAAAAAGTCCAGCCCTGACCTGCAGCCCAGGAGTGCAGCCCGGTCTGGCCCAGCCTCACAGCCCAGGGGTGTAGGCAGTGAGTGACCCACAGCAGCTTGCCTCAAGCACCTGGCACCACTGCAAGCAGGTGGTGGATGATAGGTGCCTCACCTCTGCCTGCTGCGATGGTTCACTCTGCCGCCACCACTGGGAGACGGAGGGGTGGGCTGCCATGGGCCGGATGCTGCCTGTGCCCCTGGGCTGCGGGTTTGGCCGAGGCCAGGCTGTGGCGCTCCATTGTCTTCCCCTGCTGCTGCCCACACCCCTGGCCTGCAGCAGCCCACCCTAAGTGCCCGGTGTTGCCATAAGCAGAAGGTGGGCGACAGGTGCTTCATCTCCGCCCGCCGTGATGCTTTGCTTCGCTGCTGGGAGAGGCAGTTAGGCAGGAAGCTGCACTGCAATTGCAGCCCACCTGCAACCCATAGCCCCTGCTCAGGGCTGGAGGCGGGAAGTGGCAGGCACTGACCTCCACCCCCTGGAGCTTCCCCAGCCTAAGCTGTGGTGCTGCAGTGGGAGGCAGTGGTAAGTCAGACTCTGTAATTAGCCCTGGCTTCCCCTCCTCTGCAGCCAGGTCACATCCCCCCTTTCCACCCCCTCCATGTGGCCGACTGACCGCTCCTTGGAGGGATTCAGCCCAGGGTGCCATGTTGGTGCCCACGACACTGTTGCCTGCAATGGGGGGATCCACCCTGCTTTCCCCTCAAGCTCCTGGTATCTGGCTGCCACAGCCCCGGGTGCATGGACCTGGGTGCATAAGCAGGGCCAATCTATACCAATGCCACCCCCCAGCCCCGCAATGGGGGGGATTAAACCCCCACTTCACCTCAAGCTGCCAGGGCCTGGCCCCAGCCCCGCACCTGATGCTGCAGCCGTGAGGGGGTTGTTGGGCTACAGATGCCTGGCAAGGGCTGCTGCCCCCTTGCCAGGCAGACCCGGCAGCACTGCAGAGCAGGGTTTCCCATCCCCACCCCTTTCTCAGCCGGCCGGAGCGGCAATAATGTTCCAGCTTGGGAGGAGAAGGGCAGGGCCAACCCTGCTTGGCTGGAGCAGACAGCACAGCCCAGCCCAGCCCAGCCCAGCCAAGGGCTGCAGAGCATGCTGGGATACTCCCTGCAGGCTAATACTTTCTTCAGGCCTTGCACCTGTGAGCTCTAGAGAGCTCATCAGCCTGTGTCTTCTCACAAGCTCTTTCCTCCCACTCTTTAATGGAGGACTTGCTCCCAGGTCCCATCTCATTTTTTCTAAGCCTCCAGTTGCCCTTATATCCCCACAGGCCAGATTACACCATGATACAATCTTATACTGAGAGATGAGCAACACCTGACACCTTAGTGGGGTCAGAGTCATACCTCACTCCATTTTCACTCTGGTGGAAATTCCATTGACTTCAGCAGGGTTGGTGCATGTACTGCATGGCTCTGAGGTCAAAATTAGATTGGGTTTCTCACTAGTTTTGAACCTGTTTCAGGCACGTTGTTTCCTGATTATACAGTAAATTCAGGCAGTGCTTCATCAGTTACTAGTCTGTACCTTTGCCTCAGCGCTGTCCAGCTGGTGGCCACTGCCCAGTTGCTGCTCCTTCCATCCCTCTAGCTGCAACTGCAGGCAGTCTCCAGGCTTCTCTGGGTGCCTCTTCCTGCCTTTGCCCCAGGGGGCAGGGCAGTGTGGCAGCACAGGGAGCTGAGAGTGAGCCTGGGGTACACAATGCCGCTGCCAATACGCGGAGTTTTTTGTTTTTTTTGGGGGGGGGCATAGACTCAGTGCAGTGGTGGGATACCTGCACAAGTGTGGAGTATACCAATGGGGGGCAGCAGTCACAGGTGCAGGTGCATGGTGCAGCGGTGGTAGAAGCGGGGTTGCGGATGTGCAGTGCAGCAGTGGGGAAAGGTCACGGGCACACTGTACAGTAAGGAGGGAGGGGAATCCATGGTGCTTACACCTCCTGGCTGCTTGGAAGCTGGACTGCCCTGCTTTCCATTATTAGGAATGGTGATCATTTATTAACTGTGTTCTGGTTCAGTCGGTCGTTGCTTTTCCACAGTGTATGTGATTTTAATGATTTTTCTAAAAGCCTGTTGATAGTTATGCTTAGAAAGTTTTAAAGTATTTTATGCAGGTGATGTTGTTACTGTCATTTATGAAGTTAGGGTGGGAAAAACAAATTACTTTTATGTAACTGACATTTAACTGACCTTAAACCCTTATTTGGAGCAATAAGAAGAGTATGTGCGAGTGCTCCTTTCCTAAATTACTTGATCTGTAGAAAAACTGAGATTAGGAATTACAGTTTAACAAAATAAACCAGATGTGTTTCAGGACAATATCACTTCCATGTTTCTTTGATCCATTGTGATAATGTAATAATACTTTGTTAATTAATCTAAGATGAACTACAATAGCAAATCAAGCTCCTGTCCTTGACATGTGGCAGCTGCTACCAATATTTTCCTAAAGCACAGTTTTCTTTCTTTAGATTATGATGTGTGTGCAGAGGCTCCTTGTGAACAGCAGTGCACAGATAACTTTGGGCGAGTTTTGTGTACATGTTATCCTGGATACCGGTATGACCGTGAAAGACACAGGAACAGAGAAAAACCCTATTGCTTAGGTGCGTAGAAGGGGTATGTCAAATTTGTCTCCCAGTAAGGAAGTGTCCCGTTTCAGGGAGAATTTACAGTTTCTTTAGAAGCTGGTTTCTCAGAAGGTGAATGGTGCCAGACCCTTTCCTTTTTCTTCTTTTCTATGTTGAACAAGTTTTTTGCCTTGTTAATTCCTTCTCTGCTTCCTTCATCCCCCATAGACTGTAAGAAGGCTTCAAGCTATTTGGCAAGAGAACTGAGGCTCAATTCTCACATCAAAACTAAATGTGGGGAAACAATGTTTAACTATGAAAACAAACCTTGGAGGTTCAATACAGATAGTAAGCACTTAATTCAGGCATGAATCCTTTACATGGGTCCCTCATATAACTAACTTCAGCTAACTCAGTAGTATTACAGTGCATAGGCTAGTATTCATGCAAGCAAATGTTTGGTGAATAAACCCTTGCCTGTAAGCTCCATGAAGGAAAACTCATCAAGCAGTGTTCCTCTGTAAGGTGCTGTATGTGTTAATACACTACTCATGAAACTCAGGCCCAGCTCCCCAGAAGTTTTATGGTTGCTGAGAATAATAAGACCCTTAAGAGAAGTCATTTATTTCATTTGACCTCTGGACCTCTGTAATTTTTGGGTATTCTTGACATTTGCTTAACATCAGATATTGATGAGTGTGCCACAAGCAATGGGACTCTCTGCTCTCAGATCTGCATCAACACTGCAGGCAGCTACCGGTGTGAGTGCCATGAAGGCTATATCCGAGAGGATGACGGGAGAACCTGCACCAAAGGAGATAAAGGTATATGTTAGCATGTATTAAGTATCTTGAGTCAAAAATAGCCCAAAGAATGTGGCCCACCGTAGTGGTTGTGGAAGTTTAATTCAGCTAGTGTAAAACTCACGTTCACTGGTATAACAGAACTGATCTGGCCCATCGACTTGGGTTACAAAACAGGAATCAAACTGTCCAAAATCTGTATTATATTTCCATCACCCCCTATTAATGGTGCTCCTGGGGCAGGCACGCTGTGGAAAAGCCACATGGTTGGCCTTGGCCTCCTGTTGACTGCAAAGTATCCACTGGATTTCAGTACTCACTGTTTGTTCTGCAGGAAGGCAAAGCACCTTTAGCTGATTGAATGATTGGGAGAAAATCCCAGGAGGAGAACCTCTTGGTGATTTAGTCTCCCTTTGCCATGGGAGAGGAAAATCAGGTATAATCCCACACAGCGCAATCAGATGATAGGTGCACCTCATTCCATGGGCTTGACACAGTGCTGATAGAAGTGTTCATATATTGATGGCAAATCTTGGTTCCCAACAGCTTGACTGCTATGTTAGGGGGCTAAATAACCTGTGCTGAGCTTAAACCATGACTGCCTTTGAGTTAGTGGACCCTTGAGCCCAGGGGGCAATTTTGTGGCTTGTTTTGGATGTACTTTCCCCTTGCCTCTAGTATATTTGCTGCAGACATGTCATAGTAAATCAGTTGTCACATCTGCATGTGAGGAGGGAAGAAGAGGGAGATGTCCTAGAGAGAAAGAAAAGATGAATAACAAAGCTCACCCTTAAAATTTTCGTAACTACTTTTTCTGGGTCATTGACAAAAATAGAAAATATAAGTAATGTATTAAACAAGGATCCTGTTTTCCTCCTGGTTAAAGTACTGTAAATCCAGTGTAGATTCAAATAGTACTGTATCTGAAAACAGGACTTGTCCCACCTACTGGATTTCAAAAGAAAAATGGACCATATTTCATTAACATAACTGGATTTGGTTTACCCTGCTGAAGCTGAAATTAGCCTGTGGCCCAATGTTAGCACTTTGAAGTTTTCAGGCACACACTAAATAGTATCCTGGAGATTCAATTTACCTTTTAAAATAATCCAAATCAATACACTTAATTCTATGGAATTAGAGTTCATTAGATGGTACTTTTTAAAGTGAGGCCAGAATTTTTTCCAATAAAGGTAGTTTTTTTCCCAGTTTCACCATCATTAGTAAATATAAATATCAGAATGCATATGAAGATTTTTTAATTTTCTACCATCATCCAGCATCTTTAAAATTGTGAACATAGTTATAGCAAGTGAGTAACAGATGGGAAAAAGATTCTGACCTAAAAAAAACCCAACTCTTTTGCTGAATGGCAGGTTACAGTTACTTCACCTTATTAATGACTGGAAACAGATATTACACATCGGCTTTTCCCAATCCCAGCTGGAAGAGAGGCAAAAAACATTGTGTAATTTTTGTTTTCCTCTTTGAAAACATGTAGCTGGAGCCACTCTAGCAATTTGTTTTTGTTCCCTTTAGCTTTCAAAGGCTTTAATTGCTTTATTTATAAAGACGTCTTTAAGAAAACCTAGGCACTGCAACTAATTCCTTTTCAGATATTTTTATAATTAACATTTTTGGAGGGAGTTATGTCCCATGGCACTCAGGATTATTGTCTGCACAAAGCACGCTAGGCATTTGTAAATAAGCTTTGCATATCTGTAAAACAATAATTTGTAAACTAAATTTACATGGCAACCTCAGTTATCTGTTGGTGAGGAATCCATCTTCCAAAGTATTCAAAAATTTTATTGGTGATGGGTTAAGAAGCAGCAGAAGGGCTGAATAATGCTCTTTTGCACCAGTGTAAATCTAGAATAACTTCATGGACTTCATCTGAATGCTCTGGATCTGTGTAGGTGGAAGCACTAATTTTTTATTAGTGCTATTGAGCTTGCAAATTCCAGCCAGTAAGCAGAAAAATGGGATTTCAGCAGCTGATTCTCCTCTGTAAAACATGCTACAGTTATGTGCCACCTTGTGGTAACTTGCAGTTCCTGAAGCATTTTAAATCATAAAACTCAATACAGATCTAAGCTGTAATAACTGTATGTGAAACCAGAGGCAGGCTCCCTTCAGCTTGGTTGCTGGAATTCTTAAGGCAGAATTTCTGATAATATTTGGTATTAGAGATTGCAAATAAAATAGACAGAAATTTAGCAGATCCCTCTAACTGTAACCCAGTGATTTTCAACAGTGGTGCTACAGCACCTCTGGTTGCCATGAGATACTTTTAAGGGTGCCATGCCACTGCCAGGTGGAACTGTCTCACCCTGCCTCTGTTTCCTGGAAATATTGTGTAGGACTGGACCAGGGAGTGGCTGTGGAAGGATGGGGCACCCCACTGCAGCCTAGTCTGACTGGAGGCCAGACAAGATGTGGTGTCACCTTTATCCTGCTGGATTCATCTAGGTTAAAGCAGCAGTGCACTAGACTCCAGTGCTGATTGCCCCGGCTGCAAAACAGGACCTTGACCTTCTCATAACATGCTGGGCAAGCTGTGCCCTCAAGTGCCAGCTGGGCTGCTGGGCAGGCAAGACCCAGGTGACATTTTGCTCTGGGAAGCTTGGCTTCCCTTTGAGCAAGGAGCACCAGCCCAAGCCCTGACATGACATGGCCGCTGGTTCCTCACTTGCCCAGCTCCATGGCTCTGCAATGCCAAAGCTGCCTCTGTCTTGGCCCTGCCATCTCCCCATCTCTTGAGAATCCTGTGGGACCCCCAAGGTCAAATCCATGAAACCCAGGGCAGGTCACATGTGGGGTACCACTAAATTTAGAAAAGTTACAGAAAGGGCCTTGAGTCTGAAATAGTTGAGAAACACTGCTCCAAACTTGTCATAGTTTTCATGGAGAATTAACCCTGGTGTTCACTGAGATGTTCCAGAAGAACTGTCTGTCCCAGCTGCCTGTGGAGGGTTTGGGATTGAGAGTATGGTCGGGGGGTAGAAAGGTAAGAAAGGTTTATTGACTTAACAAAAACACAGCTACGCATAATAACAAGACAAACGATGACAGACAAGAATAATTCACATCGGCAGCCCCCTCTGATGCCTGATGTACAACAAGTTTATCTTTCCACAAAGCTCAGCAAAGTCAGGCGTCCCTGATCAGTGCTGTCCGAGGGGTACCGGGAAGGACCCTGGTATTCAGTCCTTGGGCTCCTCGAGATCCACAACCCACTGATCCAGGTCATCAGCTAACTAATCCTTTTCACAGAGCCGTATCTTCCTTCTGAATGATTTCTGGATGTTTTAGCCCATTTATAATTTCTGAGCTGTGGTGATAAGTTACAGCCATTCAGATTCTTTTTACTTCAACTGTCCTTAGGCTGACCAGTAGCAGTACAAGCCTTGCATTCCTTTGATAAGGTTAATTTTAACTACGCCACAGGGCCTTACTACTTCAAGGCTTTGCTAAATTTACTGGGCCTTACTTTATACAAGGCCTTACTACATCTTAAACTTTAATTAGGCTCTTAGCAACAACATATAGGTTAATATCTGAACAAATACAGAAAAACACTTGGTCTAATCTTCATAGAGCTTTCAGCAAGCACCTTTATCACACAGACATAATTTTCAGCTGTCACATTGTCAACTGCCCCTTTTGGTCCCTAACCTGCTACAAGGAGGTTGGGCTGACCACGTAGTGGGTTTGAACACCAGGCAACAGAACTGACCCATCCTTGTTGCTTCAGCAATTGTTTTGCATGTTACAGAGACAGGACACTTACATATTCCAAGAAGACAAACTAAACCTCTGCACTTCGAGCCCAGATAATACAACACAGATGATAAGCTAAATAATCTCAGTGAAAAGAATGCATGCTGAACAGCTCCCTGTGGAGATCTCCTCCTGGTAGTACCTCCCTGCCTTCCAGCATAAGCAGGACACTGTCTTCAACCATATGCTAAGCAAACAAACTGCCTCTCCAAGCAGTTTTCTTATCAATAGCAGCTGCGAGACTCACCAGTGAGTAGGTAAAAGGGCCTGAAGAAGACAACAGAACATTATGCAAACTAGAGTTAGCTGTCTATGTACCAGAGGGCCACATAAAATGTATTTAAGCCATGGCATTCAGGATTGCCCTCTCTGTACAGGGTATTTAAAGGGACAAGTAGTTTTAGGCCTAAAATTCAGGCCTCGTAAAATAAAAACCAAGCTTTTTAAGGATCTTGCTCAAGTGTTTGCTTATTATAGAGTTGCCAGGATTTATTTGATATCTGTTCAAATGATGACTAGAACCTGGTTACCCCCATGACCATCATCAGCTCATGCTAAGACAATTCCAGCTTTATTCATAAGTAGCTGTCTTTTGGGTTTGATATGTGACCAGGCTGTGCAAAAGGAATGTAGTAATGGATGACTTTTTTCCTGGTCAGATCATTACCTCCTTCTGGCATGAGTCAGGAGAATCTTGCCTTGCTCTTAAGAAATATCAGATCCCCACCAGTGTTTTTATGGGTCCAGAGACTAATCAGTCCAGCTGGATTTACAGAACTCCCTGCAGTATAATACAGCCAAACCCATGATTCTCAACCAGGGCACCCTAGCACCTTAGGGTGCCCTGAGATCTTTTCAAGGGTGCTGCAGGGTGCCACACAATGTTAGTATGATTAGGTGTGCAAATATGAGTCACAAGATAAACCCTGAGATTTCAAATAGGAATTCATAGTGTTAAAAAACATTCTGACCTGTTTGGGACTTTCTGAATTCTTTGCAACAGAAGAATTCCTGTTATTTTTCTGTAGTCAAAAAAACAAGTGAAAACTAAGAGCTGGCATTTTCTGAGGTATGCCTAAAATCTAATGGGGGTGCCTTGAACTGAGAACTACTCGCTTATCTATTAGATGACTACAGTGTTGACCCCATTATTATATCCAACTTATGTCTATGGATATCATTATACTAGCCTGTTTTCCACATCCTTTTTGGGGATAGATTGGATTAGATACCAGAACAAGGGGCCAAATTCAGTTGTTTCTTACACTCCATGTAATTGCACTCATTCCCAGGAGATCACACAAAGCTTAAAGCCATCAGGAAATCTGGCAGTTTGTACATTGCTTTCAGCAACATTTCTCAACAATCTGTTTCTCTCTTGAGTGAACTCATTTGGATAAAATATAAACTGAAAGGCACGTCGGTCTAATACTTGTATCAAACCCACATTTTAGCTTGCTTTTTATTTAAGCAATTATATGTGCCTCTGTAATTCTGGCTTTCACCTAGAGTTAGATGCACCAAAATACTCATGTTTTTAAAAGAATTTTGATGAATTGAAGCAGGTTCAGAAATGAATCCCTGAAACAATTTCAGGGTTGGAGAAAATGCCTCACAGTGAGAGATGTAAGATGTTCAATCTGTTAATTTTTCTAAAAGAAGACCAAAGGATGATTGATTGTGGTTCACGAATTCCTTCCCAGGAAGAAAAATGCCAGGTACTGACAAAGTCATAACAAGAACCCTGAATAGAATTTAATGCCAGATAAACTCCAACTAGAAATAAGATGCATATTGTTCTACTATGCGTATTTCCCATGCTTCTGGGCTTTGCTGGTGATGCCTGTCCCCCTGATTTCTGTTACGTGTCAGGGTGTTTTTAAGCCTTTCTCAGAGGCATTGGGTGTTAGCTGCAGCCAAAGCTGGGGATTTTGACTGGAATGTGCCAATGCTCCTGCTGGGACATAAAGCCAGAGGTTCTGGCTAGAGGGTCTTGCCACTCTGCGAGGGCCAGACCATTTGCCATATTTAGGGTCAGGAAAGAATGTTACCCCATGATCCAGTTGGTACGGACTGTGCAGGGTTTTGCCTTACCCTATAGTGAGAGACATGGCCCTCTACCTGGCATCTTTTGAGTATACAGGTTTCCCTCACTTTATGCTGTACATGTGTTCCTGGAAAATGGTGCATAACTTGAATTTGCATAAAGGGAACCCACTTTACAATGTAACAAATAGGGATACGTTCCAAGACCCCGACTGTACTGACCCCAGACCCATTTCTACCACGTTTACAAGACAATTTTGGTACTCACCAACAGCAGACAGTACACACAAGCACCCAGGACACTATCATAATGGGGATGGCAACTACAGAAACACATGTCACAGACAATGAGTGAGGAGCACAGGTCCACACAGGGGACTATATTTTGGTGCACATCACTCCCACAGTGCACCACACAAAGCAGCTGACTGCAGGCTTTCACCACACCAGTCGCATAAGAGTGAATTTATCTCTCATATAATGAATTTTTGGTATAAAAAGGGTCATCACATAAGAGCGAATTCACACATACAGAAACCGCATGAAGCGAGGGAAAACTGTATATTAATCAAATGTATAGAAACAGGGCGTTGGCTGCTGTGGTTCCCCTGCTTAACCTGTGGTAGATTAGGGTGTTATGTCTTGTGCTGTGTCAGGGCTGACAGTAGTTTTACAAAGAGTTTAGATTATGGATTTGTTTAGGATGGGTTGGATAGGAGTGATCCTACATCAGGCATGGGATTGCACTAGATGACCTCTGCAGGTCCTTTCCAGCCCTATTTCTCTATGATTCTGTGACTTTGAACAAGGAGGGTGATGAACCATGAGAACAAACTGCTAAAGGAAGAAGTGAACCCTTCCTCTCTCGATGTTTTCAAGTTAAGACGGGATGCCTTTCTTTCTAGAAGATGCACTGTAGCCAAACACAAGTTACTGAGATCAGTGCAAGGTCAGCTGGGTTAAATGCTATGGCCAGTGTTATCCAAGGACTTGTAGTAGAAGAAGATTTAGTGGTCCTTTCTGGCCTTAACTCTCTGAATCCATGAAAGCACCATGTTGGATGCCATTCTTCTGGCACTAGTTTTTGGATGACATTTAAAAAGCACTGGAAAGCGCACAAAGAAATCTAGTATTTCAAGCCTGATTTTTAAACTAAAAAGGACTGACTGAGTTTGAAGGTAGTATAGGTGAGTTGTTCCAGTATTCACAACAATCAGCTAAAAGATTCCCCTTGACAACACTTGCTGTATCAGGCTCTTAGTAAGCAGCTGAATGCTCATCTGTTTTCTTAATTAATCACTAATTCTGATGTTCTTAATGCTCCTGATGAGTTAACTTTGCCTTTCTTTATACCATCTTTCTTCTCTGTGTTTAACCTCTGTTAAACACAGAGAGGCCATGAAGTAAAGGACATATGTATGATCTACATACTAGGATAAGAGGCAGAATTACTATCTGAAATAGCTTTCTGGATATGGATGAAAGTAGTACATAGACATTGATTAGCTGTGAATCTGTTTGAACGTCCTGGCATATTACAGAAGGATATATAAGAATGAATACATAAGGAAACTATATGAAATTCACTGCACTAAATCCAGTAAATATATAAATGTCAAGCACCAAGAAATGTCTGTAATATTAACACACAGACTGTTTTACATAATGCTATATATTTTTCAAAAGCCATATTAATTTATGAAAATTACCCAAATAAAGATACTAAAGTGTATATCCAAATGGACAAATATTCCACCATGGCTAAGTGCATGGTGGGTGGTCCATTTAGAGGATAACAGCCTGCTGTTATGCCAAGGAATGGAGCTCCTCCTTTAACTCAAGTAGCAGTAATCTGTGCCATGGTGCTGAAGAGCTGGTGTGTGAACCTTTTTAATGAGCCTTGTGGTCGATCATTCTTCAAACCTAAATGTTGGCTTGACTTGTTTAAGCTATCCAGGTTCTTCATGAACTGTATGTTTTTCGACAGCAAAAAGAAGAAAGGTTGTTTCCTACAGTTTGCCAGTACATTTCTCCGTGGGTTTGGGAAACTTCATTTCCTTTTACTAGGACATCTGTTAAAACAATGTTTGTTTGTGGAACAAAAGTGACTATCTCCATTTGAGACCATAAAGAAAATGAGGTTCTGATGCTTGTTAGTTCCAGCATTATGGCACCGATTCCTCAGCAATGTCATTTCCATATCCCTGCCAGTCCTCTACCTTCAGTGTGATACCTTACCATGAATCTCATTTTTCAACCCTTTTTCCTCTTGCAGTCTCCTAGCATGGTAAAATAATCAGTGATGATAAAGGCCAATGTTGTGCAAACTGAAGGAGAGAGTCGCTTTGCCTGGGATTTTCTTGTAATTTACAGCATATGAAAATTGGCCATTGAGGAGATTATAAATCAGTTGGGAGCTCTAAAGCTGCTATACTGTAAATGGACAGATAAAAGCATGGGCGTGAACATTTTCAGGTATAAGAAAGTAGAGAGTCATTAGGGACTGCTAACTGGAAACAGCTGGTTTTAAAATGTGTGTAGGATTGTCTCAGTAAAATTGTCTCAGCTCTCCGTGGTGATTCACAGTTGAAAAGTTGGTAATGGCATGATCCCCTCTGCCTTTCACATTATGGGAAAATATAAAAACCTCAAAGGCTGTTCTATGGCTTTTTGCTTTTGCAGTTGCTTATTCAATTACTTTGTGGGATTCTTTCCTTTTGGATTTTCTGCCTTTCTTATGTTTGTCCTGGAAATTGTTTTCTTTCAGCTGGGCTCTCTGAGAAGGCCGACAATGCAGTGAAACCAGGAGCTTGCTGTGCCTCATGCAAAGAGTTTCACCAAATAAAGCAGACGGTTTTACAATTGAAGCAAAAGGTATGAATCATAGGTCACCTCTTTTCCAGAACGATGTTTTTAAAAAGACCATTTGAGACTAGAAACATATTTTGTGCTTCTTAAAGTATCTAACTTTAAACATACAAATGTTGTGTTGTTGTTGCCACGCGAAGCTTGTGTTTGAGCATTGTGTAGCAGGTGTTTAAACCATGTGTGAATGGCAGTTCTCTTGCCTTCATCTGAGCAGAATGCGAACGTGTCAGATCCTGTGGGAAATGTAAGATATGGCCAAGGGTCAGTCAGGATTTGAGCCTAGGTTTCCTGTCAGTCTTACCCTTGTATTTAATTAATTCTAAAATGTTTTTGACAAGGTCCTTCACCAAAGGCTCTTGAAGGAGTGAAGCTGTCATGGGATCAGAGGACAAGTCCTTTCATGGAATGAAAATTGGTTAAAAAATAAAAACAAAGGGTAGAACTAAATGTTCATTTTTCACAGTGGAAGAAGGTCAACAGTGAGGTTCCCTAAGGATGTGTGCTGGGAACTGTATTGTTCAGCATTCATCAGTGATCTGAAACAGGATGTGAATAGTGACGTGACAAATTTTTCAGATAACACAACATGAATTCTGATAGTCAAATCCAAAGAAGTGTCATAAAAAGGTAACAGAAAGATCTATCATAATTGAGTGAGTGGGCAACAAAAAGGCAAATGAATTTCAACACGGGGATGTACAAAGTAATGTGTATGTGGCAAGAAGATAAACCTAACTATGTGTGATGGGCTCAGAGTTATTACTGGGTTCAAAAAGGATTAGACAAGTTGATGAAGAATAAATCCACTGGGACTATTATACATAACATTTTTGGCTGTGACCTATTGGTGGTGACTAGGAAGGAACAACAAGGCATGGGTCCCTCTACCTTGTTTCTTACACTCTTCCTCTAAAGCAACTGCTTGTTGCCACTGTTGAAGACAAGATACCGAGCTAGATGGACCTTTGGTCTGGCCAGCTCTTCAATTCATGGATACTCAATATTTAGGGCTTGATCCATCATGAAATAAGGTTAGCCTGTGTAAACATTGCATGAGGTAAAGGATGTAGAAAAGGGTGAATCTGCATAAATGAGAATGCTGATGCATGACCTTCAGGGTACACTTGCCTAGTTGAAAGTATAATGTTTAAGAGTGACTACATCAGTGGAAGACTTGTTTATTTTGAATCAAAAACACGTGCCTCCAAATCCATATTTTCAGTGTATACTTATAGGTAAGGGAGCTAGTACAAAGGTGGATAAAAGCCAACTATTAAAAGCCTGGTGTTTTAAGAATATTTGCACTCATGCATAGCTGCTTCTGCCATTGGAATGCATCAACCTTGAGAATCAGACAAGGATGTGCCAGTTGGGGTTAAAGAGAAAGTTGAAAGAATTTCAGTAGAAAATTAAACTGATTTGAAATTACAGTGGGTTTTTTTCAGTATTATTCTAAACCAAGGGTGTTCAATCTCTGGCCTACAGCCCAACGGAGCCACTACATCTGGCCTGCAGGGCTCTCCACAGGTTGGGAAAATTGGCAGTGCGGGGCAGTGGCCATTAATACAGCCACCCTCCTCCCTATCAAATTCCCAAACCCCAAGCCTTGCACAGCAGGTTGGAGCTGGGCCACTCCTCTCCCTTCCCCCAGGCCCCATGGAGCCTGGTTGGGGACAGACTGTTCCCTTTGTGCAGCAAGATGGGGCCCACTGCACCCGCCCCAGGTGCTGGATTGGGGCCAGCAGCCAGATCTGGCCCACAGATGAACTGGGCACTGCTCATCCAGCCTGCTGGGCAGAAAAAGTTGAGCATTACTGTTCTACACAATAAGGCAAAATCATTAAATTTTGGGTTTTCATTTAATTTGGTTTTGAAATTTTTAAAATAGAAGAATTGTGGTATGTAATATTTAACATTATATATATAAAGTATATGTTATTTTGGCATTATGAAAACAAAATCATTCACCATTATTGAAATGGATTGCTACAAAGTTTTAGAAAAACAAAAAGTGGGGGAATTTCCATTGTGTGGAAAATATTAAAATTTCAGCTGCTCATTCTGATTTGAAATAAAACAGTTTTTGAAATGTCAGCATTTCCATATACAGAAATTCTGTTTTCCAGGTAACTTCAGGTAGAAGCAATATTGATTTATTGGGAGTACCAGCAGATAGCAATACTGGCTATAGATAAACAAGTTAAAAATGAGAAGTCTGTTCATGGTGTGCCACTACATACCGTTAATTACAGGAAATAAGGTGCTCTGAATGTGTGTGAAGGCCCAGTTGTATCCTCCCCAGTGAGATATGCAGGATTAAATTCTTCACTAAGAATCCTGCTGTCAAATCCTGGTAGGAATCGAAAATGCTGTGGAGCTTTTGAACTACAGCCACAAAAGGACTGTTGCTTAAGGTACCTATATCCAAAATGTACATCTGAAAAACCTGCTGAGCTGGAACCTAACTTTGGCAGCAGCTATTTCCCTGGGCTTCTAGGCTTCTGCCAGATAGTTCCTAAAAAGTGTCTGCAGCTGGTATGTATGGAGCCACCTGTTGACAACCATGAGGAGTTCAGTGCCTATTTCATGTCTGAGCCCCACTGACCACCAAAAACCAGGAGCTTTCCCCACTTGCCTCACTTTAACACCCTGATCCAGGAAGCATTCTTGGACCACACCTCCCAGATCACACACATACTAAACAGAGCCCGAGGAGAAAGTAGTGCCCCAGTGGCCAAAACACTCATCCAGGATGGGAAAGAGCCACATTCAAATATATCTTTCACCAGAGTGTCTTAAACACGAGGGTATAGGGTAGTCTGGAGTAGGTTTCTATTGAGTTTTTTGCTTTACAAAGAATGATTACATATTTGGTGGCCTAGGGAATGAGTGTGTACAAGTGATCCTCCTCAAAAAATCCTGTAAACTGGTGGGTAGAGTACTCTTCTGCAAGGGAGGAGACCTGGGTTCACATTCCTTCCAGATGAGAGGGAAATTGAACTGCAGTCTCATCCCAAGGGAACATCTTAACCAGTAGGCTATTGAGTAAAAGGACAAGGAACAATGACATCTCCTTCCATTGTCATCTTGAGAGAAAAGATTGGCCTAGAGAAAATAAAAGCTTAGCAAACAGGAATAAAGGTAGTAGAAGCAACAGCTTTAATGCTTAGAAAATTGCTAACATTGTCTATACCTAACTGAGCAGAGGTATCAAACATACAGCTCTCAGGCTTTATGTGGCCTGTTTGCCTCCTGAGATCCCAGAGGGATTGGGAATTTCATGGTGGGGCCTGCTGCAAAAACCCAGGGCATAGAGGCCTACTGGGGACTTGTCAGCAAAAGGGAGTTAGCTACAGCTGCATTAACCCCCGTGACCACTGGTGCCACTCAGCCTGCTGCCACTGCATCTGAATCCAGCCTGCAAGGAGCCCTGTGGCCTGGTTCCAGTTAGAAGGGCAGGGTGAGTTTGATACCCCTGCTATAGAGGGTTGTACCACAGATGGTAGATCCAGGAAGCAGGTCTGCTGGGGATTGAGATGAAAATGCCACTGTGGATAAGTCTTCCAGTGGGTCTTAATGCCTCTTTGATCTAATAGCGCAACAGAATGGCCGTACTGATCCTGAACTTTGTACCATACAGGAAAGCCCCAGTGAAACTGGGAGGAGTGGTAAATTGAAAAACTAGACTGGCATATCCTGTATATGAAAATGTAACAAAACCATTAAGCAAGCCAGTGCATGGGATCAGTGCAGTGCAGTGGCTCATGTACAACTGCTCCTCCTGGCATTTCATTATTAGAAATCACCATAACAGATCATTCTAGTCAAGCAATGTCCAATAAGCTAAACTACCATTCCCCTAGGAACTCCTGAAATTTGAAGGAGGCAGCATGAGAATGAATATTTGCTCTTATTTCTAGGACCACTCTTCCCATACAACTTATCCACACAAATCTTTACACACATGTAAAATAGTTCTTTTTGAGAAAAGGTTGAATTTTGACATACGGATGGAGAAAGCAAAGGTCATTTTTGGACAATGATCCCAGTCAAGCTAAAAGGTAGAAAAAAAAAATAGGTCAGTGAGTGCAGTTAATCCCAAAAGGATTACAGTCAGCATCGAAAACACATGGTTTGGCACCAGTTTGTGTGACAGATGCTTTCTAGCCAGCAAATATCAAAGAGCACTGAGCTAGACCATTTGTGGATACCTTTAAGGGTGTTATGTATAAATTCTTACATTGGCCCCTGGATTGCAGGAGGGACCCAGAGGGAACAGCAGGTCAGTAGGCTAAGAAGGCTTTCTGAATAAACAAGCTTTATCGTTCTTTAAATTTAACTTCTTGGTCTTTTAAGAATAACACAGACCAGAACTGGGTTATTTGTAATGAATAGTACATGTCTTGGACCCAGCTGACTCAGTGGGGAGGCATGTGTGGATGCTGCTTCTGCAACTATGTGATTTTTTTTTTTTTACTTGCTAAGTTATGTGTTAAGCAGACTTGTTGGCAGCACGTGCTATTTTCTGACTTACACAGCAGAAAAGAAGAAACTTTTAGTGCTTGTTCATGTTGATCCTTTGGAATTAAACATAACTATTTATTTCTGCATGGCCATTTTCAAGCTGAAGATTAAAGTGAGATTTGGAGAAGCACTTAAGTTGCTTTAAACAATATTTAGATGGATGCCAGGGTTTCTGTCCAAAAATCAATCCAGGAAAACCCTTCCATGAAGACACCTACATTCAATTAAAGCCTCAATGTAGCTTCCTACATATGCACAGAGCCATCCCAACCTGAACAGCCAGGTGCTTTATTCCCAACTAAGCTCTAAAGCAGGGGTGGCCAAAATGGTGAATCCGGCTGACAGGTGGACTCCATTTCCCAGCTGCCCCTGCCTACATCGCTGTGGCCAGTTTCCAGGGTGCGCGGCTAGGTGGGAACTCTTCTGGGGCTGGGCCTGGGATCTTGCAGTAATGCCAGTGTGGCCCAGAGCCAGGGCAGAAC